TCATACCTTAGGTACATCAGATGTCAACTACATCTGATGTCATACTTCGAGTACATCAGATGTCCTACTTCAACTACATCTGATGTCATACCTCAGGTACATCAGATGTCATGCTTCAGCTACATCTGATGTCATACCTCAGGTACATCAGATGTCAACTACATCTGATGTCATACTTCGAGTACATCAAATGTCCTACTTCAACTACATCTGATGTCATACCTAAGGTACATCAGATGTCCTACTTCAGCTACATCTGCTGTCATACCTCAGGTACATCAGATGTCCTACTTCAGCTACATCTGCTGTCATACCTCACGTACATCAGATGTCATGCTTCAGCTACATCTGATGTCATACCTCAAGTACATCAGATGTCAACTACATCTGATGTCATACTTCGAGTACATCAGATGTCCTACTTCAACTACATCTGATGTCATACCTCAGGTACATCAGATGTCATACTTCAGCTACATCTGATGTCATACCTCAGGTACATCAGATGTCAACTACATCTGATGTCATACTTCGAGTACATCAGATGTCCTACTTCAACTACATCTGATGTCATACCTCAGGTACATCAGATGTCATACTTCAGCTACATCTGATGTCATACCTCAGGTACATCAGATGTCAACTACATCTGATGTCATACTTCGAGTACATCAGATGTCCTACTTCAACTACATCGGATGTCTTACTTCAAGTACCTGAGATGTCTTATAGCCACGAGAAAACTCTCGATGTCCTACTACAGCTACATCTGCTGTCATACCTCAGGTACATACAGATGTCCTACTTCAGCTACATCTGCTGTCATACCTCAGGTACATCAGATGTCATGCTTCAGCTACATCTGATGTCATACCTCAGGTACATCAGATGTCAACTACATCTGATGTCATACTTCGAGTACATCAGATGTCCTACTTCAACTACATCTGATGTCATACCTCAGGTACATCAGATGTCATACTTCAGCTACATCTGATGTCATACCTCAGGTACATCAGATGTCAACTACATCTGATGTCATACTTCGAGTACATCAGATGTCCTACTTCAACTACATCGGATGTCCTACTTCAAGTACATGAGATGTCTTATAGCCACGAGAAAACTCTCGAGTCGCTACTACGTCGCAGCGGGACAACTCCCCCGACGCCTACACTTAGCCTCGAGACAGCTCTTGAGTCGTTACCACGTCGCAGCGGGACAACTTCCCCGACAATAATATTTAGCCTCAAGACAACTCTCGAGTCGATATAACATCTGGGTGATACAACTCCCCAGTTACTACTTACCCGTGTGACAACTCTCGCGCTTCAACTAAATTGTGGTGAAACATGTCTCAAAATGCTCGGCCCTACCACCTCGCGACGAGACAACTCGTTCGAGGCTACCACGCGCAAACGCGACCTCCGACGCCCAGGCCTTGCGCTGCAATGCCGCGCACGCCCTTGCCGCCGCGCTCGCCCGCCGGCCTTGCGCCCCAACACCGCGCAGCGCGCCCCCTAGCCTTGCGCCTTTAGCGGGCGCTAGCGCCGTGCGCCCTCGCCGACGCGCGCTAGCGCCGCACGCCCTCGCCGACGCGTTCTAGCGCCGCGCGCCCTCGCCGACGCGTTCTAGCGCCGCGCACCCTCGCCGAGCGCCTTCGCCGACGTGCGCTAGCGCCGCGCGCCTATCCCTCGCGCATCATCGCCCTGTGCTCCCACGCCACGCGTACCATCCCCGCATCACGTAACTCCTCCTGAGCTGGGGGGTAACACACCCCAAGGGTTGGACATCCCATCCCCAAAGGCTGGGTATCCCCTCACCTCTCTACATCAATTTCAGCGTATAATCGCGGAAGCTTCAACTTGTGCTACCACTGAAGCAGTGGCACCATACATCGTCATAGCAGGAGCCAACGCTCCTCCTCGTGAGGCCCCACTGGGTCCTCAACATGATCAATTTCTACTTACTTCTCGAACGGTTCAGATAACCGAAGAAGACCTTCAGCGTATGATCACGGAAGATTCAACTCGTGCTGCCACTGAATCGGTGGCACCATATATCGCCAAGGTTGGGCATCTCACCCCAGTGGTTCGTGATCCCTTCATCCTAAATGGGGGGCTATCCCATCCTAAAGTTGGGTATCTCATCTCAAGGGTGGTACATCCACTTACCTTTCAACCCCAAGGGGTTTCACATCCCATCAAGTGTTTCACGTCCCTACTTCAAAAAACAGAAAAAATGGTCTGACGCGCACGCGCGAACCAATGGCACAACCGTGCACATCCACCTCAAACCATAGGTCTCGAGCGCCTCATCCTACAGTGGGCAGTTATCCCCGTCCTAAGGTTGGGCATCACCTTTACCTTTCAACCCCAAGTGGGTTCACATCACATCTCAAGAGACGAGTATAATCTCCCTACTCAAAAAGTAGAACATCCCCAAGGGGGTGCACATCCCATCTCAAGGAACGAGGATAATCTCCCTACTAAAAAAAATAGAACATCCTCAAGGGGGTTCACATCACATCGCAAGAGACGAGGATAATCTTCCTACTCAAAAAATAGAACATCCCCAAGGGGGTGCCCATCCCATTTCAAGGAACGAGGATAATCTCCCTACTAAAAAAATAGAACATCCTCAAGGGGGTTCACATCACATCGCAAGAGACGAGGATAATCTTCCTACTCAAAAAATAGAACATCCCCAAGGGGGTGAATATCAACCACCAAAAAAAAAAAAAAGAAAAAAAAAGAAGAAGATGAAGAAATAGAAGAAAAAAGAAGAAGATGAAAAAAGAAGAAAATGAAAAAAGAGAAGAAGAAAAAAGAACAAGAAAAAAGATAGAAGAAAAAATAAGAAGACAAAAAAAAACAGAGGAAAGGAGGCGTGCGTGCACAGCACGCGCGCGTGGCGTACACGCGCCAGACGCGCGCGCCTTCCCATGCACGCGCGCGCGCCTCCCAAGGCCACTTTGGAGCGCGCGCTCTCACCTAATTGGGCACAACTTTTGCTACTCTCCACCAAATTGCGCGTAGATTTCACCTCGCTTCACCAAATCGCGAGAGAATTTCATCGCGCTCCACCAAATTGCGCGAGTTCTTTAACGCACCTACCAAATTGCGTTCGCTATCAAATGGAAAATAAATAAAAAATTTATTTCTCCACGCCATGCCAATGAATAAAGAAACACTACAACACCGATCTACTCTCAACACGATCCGGTACCCTTTTCGACGTGGCTCCCACATCGTCTCGAGAGTGGGGGGCTTGCGAGACAACTCCCACGAGGAGCCAACTCGCTCAGTACTACCACCCGCAGCGAGATAACTCCCACGAGGAGCCAATTCCCTCGGGTCTACGAAACCATAGCGAGATAACTCCCACGAGGAGACCACTCACTCCGTCCTATAACCCGTTGCGAGGTAACTCCCACGAGGAGCCAACTCCCTCGGGTCTCATAACCATAGCGAGATAACTCACACGAGGAGATAACTCGCTCAGTCATATAACCCGTTGCGAGACAACTCCCACGTGGAGTCAACTCCCACGATGAGTCAACTCCCTCGGGTCTACGAACCCACAACGAGATAACTCCTACGAGGAGACCACTCGCTCCATCCTACGACCCGCAGCGAGGCAACTCCCACGAGGAGCCAACTCGCTCGGTACTACGAACCCGCAGCGAGACAACTCCCACGAGGAGCCAACTCGCTCGGTACCACAACCCGCAACGAGACAACTCCCACGAGGAGCCAACTCGCTCGATACTACAAATCCGTTGCAAGGCAACTCCCACGTGCAACCACCTCACTCGATAAATATTACTCACCGCGAGACAACTCCCATGAGGAGACAACTCGCCCGAAATTCACTATATAATCACAAGCTCAAGTTAGCACGATTACAACCCTAGAAGCACTTAGAGACATTATGAGAATCTATATAGCCTGGCCAGCTTGATTACTCAAATTTATCTACTTGTTTTCGATGGGTCATTCATTAAAACGTGGCCACGGTCCAAACATACTTAAGACCCACGAGGTCTAACAAGGGGCACGACCCCCATAAAAAAAATCTTGAGAGTCTGATCCCCTCCTCAAGTACATCACGCACAAGGCTATATGTAAACACATATAAGCAACGCGTCAAAACATTGACAATGTCGAAAAATAACAACTCCCACGAGGAGAATACTAGCTCCGTGCTACTACATTATCGTGAGACAACATCCACGAGGACGTAACTCGATCAACTCGATTACCCTAGAGACAACTTCCACGAGGACGTAACTCGATCAACTCGATTACCCCATAGACAACTCCCACGAGGAGATTACTTGATCCGTGCTACTACATTATCGCGAGACAACTCCCACGAGGAGATAACTCGATCAGCACTATTACCCCGCGACAAGACAACTCCCACGAGGAGATAATTCGCTACTACATCGTCGCGGGACAAAACCGACGACTCAATTAACTTACATCGCGACGACCTTGTCGCGCTATGCGCCAACGCGCATTCACGCCCCTCCGACACACGCTCCAACGCGTTTTCGCATCACTACAAAAAAAAGCATTTTATGTGACGAGAAAATTCGTCACTCAAACTTAAACTTTCGTCACATAAACATTTATGTGACAAATTATTTCGTCGCAGCGTTCGTCGCGTAGGGCCTGTCGCGAAAGGTGTTTTGTGACGAAATACTGTTTTTGTCACCAGAGATTGTGACGGAATATAATTTCGTCACAGAATTGTGTGTTTTTGCGACAAAATGTTCGTCACATAGAAAACTTAAATTTGTCATAACAAGCTTATTTCGTCACTGTAGGTGCTGCTTATTGTGACAAATTATTTCGTCACATGAACTACAAGATCTATTGAGACAAAATTTTCGTCCCATAAAATACATTTTTATAATGTAGAATTTACCTGACAATATAATTTATTATATAATATATACATGCCTTAATTTTTACTTTTCTAATATACAAAAATAATATAATTAAACTTCATTGAACTAAAGAATGATTCTTAAATAAAAAAAAATACTTATATTGCAATATGTATTAGTACTATCACACTTAGAGAAAACCTCACATTCTAGTTTACACTCAAAAGCTATAATAAAATATAAATAAAAGCTATAATCATTAGTTTGCACCTAATGATATTGTATCCTTCTTCCCCTTAGCCTTCTTTGTGGCCGTAATTCCATCTCTTAACAGTTGCAGCAATTACTTATAATAGTGAAGATACTCCTTTTCCATCCAATTACAGAAGTGCTTGTACCTTCTATCAACCTGTACCAACAAAACATAATCCATAACATAGAAAAACATTACCTCCATTAGTTCTAGACATAAATGAAATATACGTAGAACACAAACAATTAGTAATAAAACAAATGTTATGGCAGTTACCTCAATCAATAAAAAAATAAAGAAATAAAATAAAGAAAGCATTCAAATGCTCTTGCGTTATTTTTTTTCCTATTCTTTTTGGTCTCCAATGAAATTGATGTTAACACATAGGAAAGCATTTTTGAACTTCTGAACTTAGCTAAAGCAGAAGTTTGCTCTATTATATGTATGCTTATTCTTGTAAGATCCAGTTTTCTAGACAAAACAACCAATATCATAATAGATAATCACATAGGATTTTAACTTCTAACAAGTTCCACAAAAACGCCGTCAAAGACTTACACATCCGCAACCAAAGTACACTCAGCTGTATAGAAACTAAAACTACAGAGATATCATTGCATATAATATATATCCAAAACATGCATATAATATTAAGTATAAAGAAAGGGAGAGAAATATACCCATAGGTCATCTTGCCCGAGTAAGCTTGAGTGGTCTCTATTAGCTTGAGTGGATAACAGCTATAATCCACAAAAGATGATCAGACATAAGCCATCGATTTCGTCTGCAAAACAAAACAACGTTATTTTCAGCAGAAGCTGCACGGTTTTGTTACTATGCTGCATTTCGATCAAACTACGATATAAAGCAAAACACATAACCTCAAATCAAATGCAAATGTAAGCATTACACAATATACCACAATATACTCAACAAAAATGTTGTGTGTGTATATTATATATATATATATATATATATATATATATATATATATATATATATATATATATATATATATATATATATTTCAGCCAATTTTTCCAATATAGTTAAGTTTTGAGCAGATATAGATCACAAGCATAGTGATGAATCTTGACTGAAACTTATGCAAAACCAAGTTTCCCTGGTTTGGACGGGAGGCAGAGGCAGAGGGTTGTCGGAGGCGGAATGAAGAACTCATCAGCCGAGCACCAAACCACATCAGTATACCTGCAGTCAAAGTGTGTACATCCATTAATACAAAAATAATGATAAATGGACAGTAAATATAAAACACTCTTTAGTGATTAATGAATTGATCCAAAGGCATACAGAAAAAAACCTTATTATTTGTTTGATAATTCCATTTCCCTGCCATGATTTGCAACTCAATTCCTCAAATATTACACACACTCTACAGATTGACGAATTAACATTCAAACTACACCTAAGCAAGTCCCCTGCTTCTATCTATACATTACTCACACATTTGTACTAAATTTTACACCACACTGGTAAATTCTCACATATATACGTACCGACATTGTAATTTCAACCTCACTTCTAAAAGCACTGCCTAGCACTTGTCGACCGGAGGTTGGAGTATTATGAGCTTATCTCAGCTATCCACTTTCAATGTCAGATAAGAGCAGAGAATCTCGTAAAATAATTCTCCGACACTCAAAGCAAACCCTACGGCTCTGAGGTACTTCCATTATCTGCATACATCAATCAACAACTGCAGTTAGTTGCAATCATTAACACAGCTGCAGAAAGATCTTTTACGAGTTCTATCACTTTCTCACCATCATTGAAAATTGAAAACTGAAAAAAGAAAGAAAGCAATGAGATGAAGCCGAATTCGATGAAGCAATGTTTCTCTCTGTGTATCGTTACTAATTTCAAGAATCTTTTGGACTACGTAATTTGCAAACTGGTCCTTCATCATCACCTAAAAATGAAAATAAATAAATAAATAAATAAATAAACAATTGATTAACAAAGGCACATCCACAGTGAAATCCTTATTATATTGTTAGCCAGTTAAAAAGAGCAGAAAGAATGATGCCAAGAGACATCAATTAGGTATAGATAAAGAATGTACATAGTTTATTCTTCAAACAAGGTGTTGAATAATAGATTATCTTACCAGTAAATTGTCATTGTCTTCAAACTGCAGAAGGATCTCATCAATCAAAAACTCCCGTTCAGCGGCATCGCCAAACTCTAAACATTTCTCTACAACATTTGATGCATACTTGTGCTGGCTCCTTTGTACAATTTTCCCACACAATTTGTGGGTATTTTGACTCCGTACAAGCGGTTTTCCAATTTCCCCTTTCCAAAACGTGCTGTAAAAGTAGATCAAATTTTTATGTTTGACAAACAAGTGGAGTGAAGGGACCCAAATATTTACTTCCAGCTCAAAATGTATTACTGTTATCTTCAAATTGCAGTTTGAACTATGCTTCAATAATGGAATCTCAGATTAAAAAAAAAAAGGAGTAATCAATAGATGGACGAGACAACCTCTATCGCTTAAGAGTTAAGATAATAAGATAATAAGATAAATGTATTGAACGAAGAACCTAATGGCTGAGAATCCTAATTCCCATTCACGAGCTCCGATCGACTCCAACCTCGGCAATTTTCGGCATCAGCCTAAATAGGTTTCAAAAATAAAATCACAAACCTGCTTAACTTAATTTTGAGAACATAACTAAATTCTGGCCCTTTTATGCAAAAAACCTAACATTCCATTGAAGAAATGGAGAGAAGAAAACGGGAGAGGTGGAGTTAGAGTGAAGAGGGGAGATGGAGAGAAAAATAAATTAGTAATTATACCTGAATCGATTGGCGGTGGCGAAGGCAAACGAATACTGGCGCTGGCGAAGGAAAACGAACACTGGCGGTGGCGAAGGAAAACGAATACTGACGGTGGCGAAGGAAAACGAACACAGGCGGTGGCGAAGGAAAACGAACACTAGCGGCGGCGAAGGAAAATGAACACTAGCGGCGGCGAAGGAAAACGAACACTGGCGGTGCAACGATAATGGTGGACGCGAAAGGCAGATCGAAGAGCAGATCGTTCGGGTAAAGAAAATGAGAAGGAAAGAGAAGGGAATTTATGAGAAAAAAAAGAAAAGGATCGGACTAAGTCTAAAAAATTGGGGGAAGATTTTCTAGTAATAAATAATTTATATTATTTTTATGTAACGACGAAATAATTTTGTCACAACAAAAAAAGAATGTGACGAAATTACTTTGTCATAAGAAACCTAAATATTTGTCACAAGATACTGCCAGTCAATTGTTTAAAATTTTTGTATATTCTACGGTGACGGTTTTTCATTATTGTCACATAAAATGAAGTTTATGTGACGAAATTAACCTTCATCACCTAAAATATTCACTTACGTGACAATGTGAAATTTTGTCATAATATCTCCCTTTACTGTGACAAAATTTGATTTTGTCACAAAAGACTGTCACATAAAATACTTTTTTTTGTAGTGCATACCATTTAGGCCATACGCCAACGATCGACTTCTACAATTTTTACTCTCGACACGATTTGAGACCCATCACAACATGGCCCCCACATCGACTCGAGAGTGGGGGGCTTAATGATATGCCTAATAAGGCCAACCCAATGGGCCTACAATTTCTTTACCTACTGGGCTACGAGCCCAATATCGAAGACTAATATCACCGAGGCCCAAACACCTTCAAGTAAGGTTTGGGCCCAACAAAGCAAACTCAACCCAATAAACGACATATAAATAGAGGTTTTACTCATTTTATTAAGGTACGTCCTATTATCTGAGCAATACTACTAATGGTATTCTCTGGACTATTTCTATGATCAGCACGTCTGACTTGAGCGTCGGAGGGGTTTCCGCCGGATCAACCCCCGGCTTAGCTTATGTGTTCTATGATCGCAGGTACCTCAGGATCATCAAGTTGTCAAGCTACTGATCTGCTTTGCTCTCCCAGTTCGTTTTCTACACCACCCTAGGTGAGCTAGTAATTAGCATCATCACTATACAAAATTCCGTAAAATTAATAGTTAGACATCGAAATCGAATCAAATTCGAACGGAATAGTATAAACCAGAATTAAATTTGGGATAAAAAATTATGCATTCATCTGTGAAAAAATTTAAACCATACATTCTTATAATCTCTTATCCGATCCTCCACTCGGCCACTCATCCAATTCATTCACAGTCGTCCACTCATTTCATATCTAAATATCCCCTCCTGCTTAGCTATAAGTGGTTCCATATTTTTCATTATCTCTTTGTGTACCATTTACCTAAACCCTTAAAAACTAACTCAAATAATGTTTATATCTATATATAGACACACACACACACGAATGGATGGAAACAAATCAACAACTAGTAATTAATTCATAAATTTTATTAAAATCAATCTTGAGAATATTAAAAGTTTTACTAACTTAAAAGTTACCAACATCTTCTTCATTCATATAAAAAATTCATAAATTTTATTAAAATCAATCTTGAGAATATTAAAAGTTTTACTAACTTAAAAGATACCAACATCTTCTTCATTCATATAAAACCTAGTATATGTAAAACCCTACTGTTTACAGTGTCTTGCAAAAGTCACGTTTAGGGTTTCTCTAGATATATTATGAATGGAGGTAATCTTATTTTATTACTGTTTTTGACTTTCAATAAGTATTCTAGAAATAAGTTTTGCCTTAATTATTACTGTATTTTTTTACTTTCAATGAGAATTTTTAACTTATTTTAAGATAAGTTTGTAAAATATATAATTTATATCACTAGCAGAAAAAATATTTTTTACCGCGCCAGTAACCGTAACAAAATGTACCAAATTCGTAGTAATAATGTTTTTGTTTCGAATTTGTCCCGTATCATATACGGGCATGACAGAAACTTTGCTGTGGTAAATGGTAAAATTTACTACGACTCCAAGATTGTCCCATAGTGAAAGGTACCTTTTGTTACGACTCCAAGACATTTTTCTACTAGTGTATATTTCCCGATATAAATCCGAAATCTGAAAAAATATGTGAGCTGAGTTTGAACCTATAAACACGAGACCCGATGGTATATTAGCTTGAACTGACCCAAGCTAGTCTCAGCCCCATTGTCAGGCCTAGATACTCAAATTCTGAACTATCCACGAAAAAGCAACTATAGAAACCCTAGCTATTTTAACAGGATTTGTATAGAAAATGCTCATATCTTAGTCCTTGGCTTATTCAACGTGGATCGACTCTCTTCCTTCGCTCTAAAAAGATCATTTGCATCAACTCTTTAGATGGGACGGCGACTAAAACATCCGCGCCACCAAATGTTCTTTACAACAACTAAAATATAAAAATAATTATAAAACAATTCCATTAAGTTTTCATTTCTAATCGTCCGCAGTGGGGAAACCCGTGCACGGCCAGGGGGTCATGGCCCCCCTCAAATTGTAATTTTTTGTATTACTATATATGTATGTATAGTTTTTTTTTTTGTCTTTGCATTGTTCTCCTATAGGATAAAGAAGTTACGAATTGTGACTTGAAACTACGGGCGAATCCACCCTTGGGAAGTGGGACTCATTATATATTAAGTCCATATTTTTATTATTTAGTGCATCTAAAATCCAAATAAATGCAAAAACAAAATAGTAACTTTTCTTTCTTATCTTCTAGTTTTATAAAAAAAAAAAAAACTCGATTTTTTTTTTCAGAGACACTGCCTCTAAACCACCAAAAATTAAGTCCATCATGTAGCAATATCTTAGATTCACCATTGTTAGAACAATCATTGTTTTCATTAAGTTTTTTAACGTTATTTTTTAATGCAAATTTTGCCCCTCCGGTGATAAAATTCTGGTTTCGCCACTGTGTGACAAGCTCCACCTAGCAACCGTTGGCAAGGTGATTTGAATCTGGGTCAATTGAGAAAGACTCACTTGCTCC